ACATACAAAAGGACAACACTATAGTTATCATGAGGTTGTTAACATCGCAATTTATCAGTGGATGTTTGCTGGAACTACTTGCCAAATGAAGAATGACGGACACACAGCGTTAACGGACACACAGCGTTGAGACCGGTCAGGTAGAGACCGGTCTCCAGTCAGCACCGCTGCAGACTCGCTGTTTGAGGGCTTGATAGCCCACTCCCCCTCCACACCGCTCCACACTCGTTGGTTTGGAACAGCACTTAATGTGGCGGACCCTCCGTGTGTAGGGGTAGGGCACATGTGTCAAACTCAAGGCCCGGGGGCCAAATCAGGCCCTTGGTGGATTTAATTTCAGCCCGCAGGATAATTTCTAATTACTGTTAGATCTGGCCCGCCGGTATATTGCACGCACACCTTCACTCAATCCTGAGGGTTTCCTCAGCTCAGAGCCTGACCCCAAACATTGATGAACTTGCACCCAAGATGAGCCAAGTATCTGGCTTGAACAAGCATCACAGTGCAGCACACTGAGTTTACATGGATGTTTCCTTCTGCACTTTTTTTCTTGCGACAACAGGGCATGTTTGGTTTTTTCTTTGAGGGAAATTGTTTTTTTGAAGCTGTTGTTGGCCTGTGGAAAAAGGTAATCATAAGAAATGACTCTTGAAAAGCTGCAGATAGAGCCATAAGAAAGAGAGAGAGATAGAGACAGAGAGAGAGAGACAAACAGACAGACCCCTTTCACACCAAGGCTTTTCCCGTTCTAGCTCTGTGAGCCAAAAATGGCTTACCAAGTTATTCATTTTCTCTATAATGTTGCATTACAGTGACTGTGTGAAACATTTAACCTTTGTCACCATCTGCTGGTCATGAAACGCTCACATGTTCATAGCACAAAATAAATCAGCAGAAATGAACAAATTAAATATAACAATAGTGCACGTTAGCATAACATTACCATTTGAAACAGAAACACATATTTGACCTTTATTGCTAATGTCTTTGAGGTGATGATTGGCACAACTGCTGTACATTTTGTTCGAAATGTTTGACTATTGTTTTTGCCAATGCATCCTTGAATTAAATATGATATTTTGAAAATGCATTTTGAGCTTCCCCTCTAGTTTCACACAAAATCACCACTGTCAAAATCTGTGATCCTGTGTGATAACCATGGTGGCACCAAGTTTGTTAACAGCTTTCCAAACATGTTCATGTACAAGTCATACATCAGAGATACAGAAATCATAAAAACAAGATGGTTTGAGACAAAAGTAACATATTTACATGTAGATGTTTTTAATGATAGTAATAAAATAAAAATATTGTAACCAATGCATGGTCTAATACCCAATGGTAAGCTAACATGAGGTTTCTGATTCAAATCAAATGAAATCAAAAGATTTATTATATTAACACACACAAGTAATCATATATCTCCCTATTTTAGAAAACCATATGTAATCATTTTTTGTATTGCACACTAGTGATGGACCTACCGTTGGAGTGGTCCAGACCATAAGAGGAAGAAAATACAGCAAACTTCAAATGCTGGCATTTTATTTAAAATCTTCAATATTATTTGACATGGCATCACATCCACAGCAAGGCATGCTGCCCTGCCTGGCACAAAGAGCAGCTTTGTATAACCACCACCATAAGGTGCAACCAAAACAGTGGTGCTATTAACCTATTTCTAATTATTACATTAAAACAAAGCAACCAAACAGAAATCTAACTCATGTTACAGATATTCAACATCCCACATTCTTTGTCACGTTGTCCTGTTTCTTTGAGTAATGACAAAGTTATGCTGACCTCTCCTCCCAACTGGACACAGAACTGGACAAGACTCAGGATGTTGCTCTCCTGGTTTGAGGTGTTAGTCCAGCTTTTCCTGCAGAGATAAAAACACTTTCCAGTTTGAGTTCAGACACTTTGTTATACGAAGAGTAGCCATTCTGACTGGTATTTGCTTCAAAGGCCAATCCAGCTGCTCGGACCTATAGAACATAGCCATGATTTAAAGGGATCTCTTGGTTAAAATCTGTTTTATATGGCTAAACTATTTATATTTTACTGTCCAGGATGCAGGAATTTTGTGGGTATGTATGTGATCAGATTAGAAGAATGAAGGTTCTTACAGTTAATTGCCTAGATAATTAACTGTCCAATATTTTGTAAATGTTCTTTATTCAAGTTTAGGGTTTATTTAACACTTGATGTACCTGCAACTGCACAGGTTCTCAATGTGTGGGTTTTATAAAACTGCAAACTCAAGCAGATAGAATGTCTTTATTAAAAAATAAAACCACCAAATATGTAAGGATCTTGTTCAAACAACACACTTTACACGTTATAAAAAAAACGAAGCAAATCTTTTTTGAAACGGGGGCAACACTTTACGGTTTGCATTGCAGACATTTTGAGTTGTCAGAGCACGAGAAGCACAGTTTGAAAAACACGATGGTTGCTTTTTATTTAGGTGAGCCAGCTCCTGAGCTCTGCATGTGTGTGACTTGAGGAATATAGCCATCATTAACATTAGTTACACCTTTACTTTTCCTGCTTTGAGAAGTCAAAATGTTTGCCAAGAAAAGAGTTTGTGCAGTAATCGTCCGACATCATCAACAGTTTAAATTATGCAATGGCATTTGACTGGAATGAGTATTAATAACATTTTATTAAATCGAGAACATTTACGGTACATTGTAACTAGAGCACTGGTCTACAAAAGGTGGAGGAAGTCATCGTCAGCAGAGATGAAGAAAAGGCACATTACTTAGAACATACATACATGTAGCTCTTGTAATGACAATAGGCTACACACAGGACTAAACAAAACACTATTACTCACCTGAAGAGGCAGACAGCTGAAGTGAAAACACATAGCAGCAATCCAATTACAGCTGAGAGTGTGTATAGAAAAAACCACGATGGATCGACTTCTGCACAAAATCAGATGTGAATTAATTTCAGTAACATACGGCATGTCTAGTGTATAAATGATTAGCCCTACTTTGTGCTCAACATACCTTCAGGTTCCCAGGACACCGTTAAATTCCACACAATAGTTCCTGGACCTCTTGGATAAGTTACATTACATCTATAGAGTCCTGCATCGTCATGGTGAACATTATAAATATTCAGCTTTGAAGGTAAGGTTATGTCTATCAGTGTGTGAGAGGTGACATTTGAAAAAGTCTGATTATCTGTGAATAAATATGCAAAAAGAAAACTGCCTTTGCTCCAGTTGATTTGCGCTGCATTTGTTGTGGAAATGTTGCAAGTGAGGATGACGGAGTCTCCCCTGGACACCTCTATACTCCTGTGATTATATTGAGCAATCTCTGTAGAAGGCATTTAATAAATGAATATAAAAGATAAACGTGTAAGAAAAATCTACAGAAAAGCATGCATCACAAACACAAATGTCAACTCTACCTGTGAAGACTTGAGATAGAAGTTGAATGCAGAGCAGAGCTATTAGGTTTAGTTTGAACATGATGTTCATAAGATAAAGACGGACTGAAACTTACATGAGCTTTATGTGTATTTGTGAAGGAGGCGCACCAAAAGCCCCCAAAGCAAGTGGTTGGTTGCTACGTTACTTTTGCTTTGAAAGAGTTCACTGCTTTGATCAAATACATTTTATTATTATTAGAAGAACCACATCTGTTGCTTTAAATTGACAACATGGCTGTTCTGCAAAGATCTTCAACCATCACATAATCTCAGCCCTAATTCCCAGTCTTATTATGCTACTAACTAACTATACAAGTACTTCCCTCTGGCAGGAGGTTCAGTTCTCCTCATTGTGAATTAAATAGATTTAAAAACAATGTATCCCTGTGTCAATACAAATGTTAAATAGTGACAGATAAGCGATGGACAATGATCCTTGTTTTTTTTTCAAGAAATGTTAAGTGGGGAGGGGGGTACTTTCTCACTTTTATTATTATTTTTGTTGATGTTTTCCAATTTCAACACCTTAATACATTTTCTATGTTGAAGGTTTTCTTTTGATGGATACAGTGTGGGTGAAAAAGCCCAAGACAAATGTCCCAAGAGTTCATCTTGACTTTGATATTTCTTAGATTGCACAAAACCCAAAGAGGCTACTGTAACATGTGACACTCTGTATTACAACATACGGTGCATCTACATAGAATTGCACAAAAATACCAGATGATCATCAATGAAGAATTAAGGAAAGGCAAATCAAAATGGAGCGTTCTCGTTCGTACTCTTCATGTTTTCAACACAAGGATCTCCAGAAGTGTTGATGTGCTGAATCGTGTATTCCTTGTAAACAACTTTTTTAAATGATGTTTTTTACTGTAGCGATTACCATCATAGGGTCACACATACAAAAAGAATGCTTAGTCATGACAACAATGCTTTTGCCGATAACACTTTAAGTTCAGTGATAGATTGTAGCTGATTGCATCAACTGTCAAATAGTTCTATAGTTATCTGAAGAGTGATGAAGTGGACTTTACTTGATCCATGTAGTGTGAGTTTAGTGTGTCTCTGGTAAACAGTGATTACCTGATGCTGTTTAGCTGCTGCTTTTTTGATAAAACGGATGGATTTTGACAATGTTGTTCAAATGACATTGACGTCTGTTTGTATTTCTACCGAAACGAGAAATGTGTGTGATTTGATCTCCCGTTTATATCTATAACTAATTTAATATAAGTTTATCTGAGATACAGAAGTTATAATAACGAGATAGTTTAAGACACATTTAATATATTTTGATGCATTTCTTTTTAATGAGAGAAATAAAACAAAAATGTTCTAACCAATGCATGGTCAGTAAGCTAACATGAGGTTTCTGATTCAAATAAAAATAAAATCAAAACATGAGCTTTTTTTCTCTTAACAAACACATGTATTTATCTTTTCTCCCTATTTTAGAAAGCTATATGCTATAATTGTTATTTTGCACACTAGTGTTGGACCTACTGTTAGGCCATAAGAGGCAGACAATACAGCTAACATCAAAAGTGGGCATTGTATTTAAAATATTCAATATTTATTTGACATGGCATCACATCCACAGCAAGGCATGCTGCCCTGCCTGGCACACAGAGCAACTTTGTATAGCCACCACCCTAAGGTGCTTTGTGTTTCGTTTTCACGTTGTCCCGTTTCTTATTCAGCTTTAAACTGAATCTGAAGCTCCTGCACAGACTCCCTCTGCTTGTGATTCGCCCTGTAGACTGCACAGCTGTGGAGTGGAGGAGGAGACACCTGCAGGGACTGAAAGTGAATACACTAAATAAACTCAGATATCAAAAGAGCCAATAAGCATAAACATTGTTTCAATAACGTTATTGTTTGAGTAATGACAAAGTTATGCTGACCTCTCCTCCCAACTGGACACAGAACTGGACAAGACTCAGGATGTTGCTCTCCTGGTTTGAGGAGTTAGTCCAGCTTTTCCTGCAGAGATAAAAAAAACACTTTCCAGTTTGAGTTCAGACACTTTGTTATACGAAGAGTAGCCATTCTGACTGGTATTTGCTTCAAAGGCCAATCCAGCTGCTCGGACCTATAGCCATGATTTAGGGATCTCTTGGTTAAAATCTGTTTTATATGGCTAAACTATTTATATTTTACAGTCCAGGATGCAGGACTTTTGTGGGTATGTATGTGATCAGATTAGAAGAATTAAGGTTATTACAGTTAATTGGCTAGATAATGGACTGTCCAATATTTTGTAAATGTTCGTTTGTAAAGAACACACGTTGTAAAAAAATCGAAGCAAATGTTTTTTGAAATGTGGGCAACACTTGACGGTTTGCATTGCAGACATTTTGAGTCGTCAGAGCACGAGAAGCACAGTTTTTTCCTGCTTTGAGAAGTCAAAATGTTTGCCAAGAAAATAGTTGGTGCAGTAATCGATCGACATCATCAACAGATCAAATTATGCAATGGCATTTGACTGGAATGAGTATTAATAATATTTTATTAAATCGAGAACATTTACGGTACATTGTAACTAGAGCACTGGTCTACAAAAGGTGGAGGAAGTCATCGTCAGCAGAGATGAAGAGAAGGCACATTACTTAGAACATACATACATGTAGCTCTTGTAATGACAATAGGCTACACACAGGACTAAACAAAAAACTATTACTCACCTGTAGAGGCAGACAGCTGAAGTGAAAACACATAGAAGCAATCCAATTACAGCTGAGAGTGTGTATAGATAAAACCATGATGGATCGACTCCTGCACAAATCAGATGTGAATTAATTTCAGTAACATACGGCATGTCTAGTGTATAAATGATTAGCCCTACTTTGTGCTCAACATACCTTCAGGTTCCCAGGACACCGTTAAATTCCACACAATAATTCCTTGACCTCTTGGGTTACTTATATTACATTTATAGAGTCCTGCATCGTCATGCTGAACATTATATATATTCAGCTTTGAGGGTAAGGTTATGTCTATCAGTGTGTGAGAGGTGAAATTTGAAAAAGTCTGATTATCTGCGAATGAATATGCAAAAAGAAAACTGTCTTTGCTCCAGTTGATTTGCATTGCATTTGTTGTGGAAATGTTGCAAGTGAGGATGACGGAGTCTCCCCTGGACACCTCTTTACTCCTGTGATCCTCTCGAGCAATCTCTAATATTGAAGGAAATATTCAATCATTAGTATATCTACAGAAAAGCATGCATCACAAACACAAATGTCCACTCTGCCTGCATAGATGACTTGGGATAGAAGTTGAATGCAGAGCAGAGCTGTTAGGTTTAGTCTGAACATGATGTCCATCAGATACAGACAGACTGAAACTGCAACAGGAGCTTTACATGTATTTATGAAGGAGGCGCAATAAAAGCCCACAAAGGAAGTGGTTGCTTGCTATTTGGTAGCTCAAAACTTAAATTAATTCACATGACTAAAATTAGATATGCTTTTCCCCATACGAGTAAACAACTCTTGCTTTGAAAGAGTTCACTGCTTTGATCAAAAGACATTTAGATATTATTATAAGAACCACATGTTGCTTTAAATTGACAAAATGGCCGTACTGCAGAGATCTTCAACCATCACATAATCCCTACCGTAATACCCTTGATTTATCATGTTACTAAACATAAAGCGTCCGATTAGTAAAATAGCCGAGAAACACACTCACAGATGTCTTAAACTGAAATAAATAATTAATACAAATAAAACTCTACCTAATGGTAGTGACTGAAATGAAATTGAACACCTCCCCTGTAATCCCTCTACAAAACACAAGGAGGCACACAAAACTGTTGAGTAACTTTATTGGCCAACATCATCAGCAGCTTTGATTGGCTCAGAGTTCAGGACAGATGAGGACAAACAATCAACAAAAACATCAATAATAAACCATATTTATAAGAAGATGTAAAAAATACAAAGAATACCATAAATATAAAATAAACATTTAAAACATGTCCTTAAAGTGACAGCACTGGTTGTAATGAAATGTTAGATAAGCCAAAGGCATCAGTGACCAGTCGCCCCTCCTTCTGATTGGCTTCCATTACAGCTCCTGGTTTGTCCGTGTCTCTTCATTTAAAATGGCTTCAGCTCATTAGAGATCATAGATGTAATTGACCCTCTCCATGTACTGACTCCTGCGATTTATATTTGTCCTACTGCCTGTGACACCCTGTTCGAGGTAGGCCAACCAAAAGAGGTAGAAATGAAAGGTTAACGTTTTCTCACAGGAAGAAATGAAAACAAAGTACATTTTAGAGTCAAAGTCTTTCTGACCTCTTCTTCCAACTGAATATCCATCTGCCCCTCGACTGAAATCTGGTTTGGCGTCCTGGCTCTGTGTTTTCTGCAGAGAAAAAAGTTTGAGGAAAAAGTACAAAAGTATTATCAGCAAAATGTACTTAAAGTAACAATACTTATTCTTGACAATTAGCCCCTGTGAGTTATAAATATATTATACACAGTATCCCCCTTGATATCTTCTAAACTCAGAGTACTGCGTTCTGGCAGGAGGTTCAGGGCCCCTCGTTGTAAATGAAATAGATTTTAAAATGATGTTTCCCTGTGTCAATACCTTTTTTTAAAGTACAAGTAGTGACAGATAAGCGATGGACACTTTTTTATTTTTTTTAAGGTATTTTGAGTTGGGAGGGGGGTGCTTTCTCTTTCTTTTATTGTTATCGGTGATGTTGGCCAATTTCAACACCTTAATATATTTTGTATGTATATATGTGGAAGGTTTTATTTTGATGGCTACAGTTTCAGTGAAAAAGCAAAATGACACAATAGACAATAGAGTTAATCTTGACTTTGACATTATTAGATTGCACAAAACCCAAAGAAGCTACTGTTACACATGACACTGTGTATTACAACATACTGTGCATCTAAAGAGAAGTGCACAAAAATACCAGATGATCTTCAATGAAGAATTAAGGAAAGGCAAATCAAAATGGAGCGTTCTCGTTACTCTTCATGTTTTCAACACAAGGATCTCCAGAAGTGTTGATGTGCTGACTCAAAACGTACAAATGTTTTTTATGTAGCGATTACAATTATAGGGTCCCATGTACAAAAATATGCTTACTCTTGCTTACTAAGGGAAAACTTAAAGTTAATTGATACTGTAGTTTGTAGTAGCCGATTGCATCAACTGTCAAATAGTTCTATAGTTATCTGAACAGTGGTAAAGTGGACTTAACTTGATCCATGTCGTGTGAGTTTAGTCTGTCTCTGGTAAACAATGATTACCTGATGCTGTTTATTTATTCTAGTTGACTTACAAAGCACCTCTACAGAGGTTACACATAATTGGTCAATGCATACAGGAGCATTTTGGGGTTCAGTATCTTGCCCATGGACATTGACATGTTGACTGCAGGGACTGGGGATCAAACCACTGGCCCTTCAAGTGGAATAACATTATATTCCCCCTGAGCCACAGCCATACTGTTTCTAATTAAAATATGTTGTTAAGCTTCCACTCAAACCCTTAGAGCAAATCTACCTAGAGTTGCTGGTTGGACCATGGGGTGAGATGTTATGTTAACTGCGGTATCAAATGTCAAGAAATAACTGATGCCATGAGCGGCCCAAATGAAAATCCATTTACCTTTGCTTTATTTTTGGATGGAGCTTAGATTGCTGATAATACAAGATACAATCAAAGACTGACTGAAAACACAGGGGTGTGAAAAATGATGATTTATCTCTATTTTAGGATAATTTACATTTGACTACAAATGCAGTAAATGAACTCCATACTAAATCCAACCTAATTTAAAATGTAATTCATTATAACAAATATATACTTAAATCATACAACATACTTCGTAAACCCGAAAGCCCAAAGGTAAGACTCACCTGTAGAGGCAGACAGCTGAGGTGAAAACACATAGAAGCAATCCAATTACAGCTGAGAGTGTGTATAGATAAGACCATGATGGATCGACTCCTGCACAAATCAGATGTGAATTAATTTCAGTAACATACGGCATGTCTAGTGTATAAATGATTAGCCCTACTTTGTGCTCAACATACCTTCAGGTTCCCAGGACACCGTTAAATTCCACACAATAGTTTCTGGACCTCTTGGGTAAGTTACATTACATTTATAGAGTCCTGCATCGTCACGCTGAACATTATATATATTCAGCTTTGAGGGTAAGGTTATGTCTATCAGTGTGTGAGAGGTGAAATTTGAAAAAGTCTGATTATCTGCGAATGAATATGCAAAAAGAAAACTGTCTTTGCTCCAGTTGATTTGCGTTGCATTTGTTGTGGAAATGTTGCAAGTGAGGATGACGGAGTCTCCCCTGGACACCTCTATACTCCTGTGATCCTCTCGAGCAATCTCTAATATTGAAGGAAATATTAAATCATTAGTATATCTACAGAAAAGCATGCATCACAAACACAAATGTCCACTCTACCTGCGAAGACTTGGCCCATAAAATACAGTTGAATGGAGAGCAGAGCTGCTCGGTTGAACATGATGTCCATCGGATACAGACAGACTGAAACTTCAACATCATTTCAGAGATGTCTTTGTGGAGGAGGCGCAGAGAAAAGGAAGTGGTTAGTTGCTAGTTAGTTTGTTTATTTGACTGCTCAAAATGTGTCCATACTTTTGCTGTACATTAAATAAAGTAATATAGGAATCATACAATTTATGTGTACAATATTGAGAATTGAAACTTGCATCAGGTTGAATATAAACTATAAATTCTAATTTTCACATTACTCATTTGTGTTATTAACTCAAGTATAACTGCAGGAAAACCATTTTGTTTTTGGTTGAGTGGTTGAGTTACATGGTCCTGCTCCTTATTGTAACCATCATAACCATATGTAGATGACTACTCTCTGATGTTGCTCAGTGGGATTTAAAAAACAACAAATAGTGTGCTGCTGTATCAGAGGTGTGAAAACCACACTTCTTAAACCTTCATTCACAGACTGATGTCGCAGCAGGAGAAAAATCATAGCTGAATTTAATTTACAGTAGTGCGTTATTTCTGCTAGCTCAGTGTCTTAGCGTACACGTTTTTATAAACATTTGGCAGGTTTGACCTCTATTGGACTGAGTATGAACAGACTGTTCTTCATTGGTAAGCCCATGACTCTCGATGATGGACCTGAGCAAAGGTCTAATAATGATTAATTATATAAATGTAAACTTCCCTTCCGTGTGTGTGTGTGTGTGTGTGTGTGTGTGTGTGTGTGTGTGTGTGTGTGTGTGTGTGTGTGTGTGTGAATGTGTGTGTGTGTCTGTCTGTGTGAGTGTTTGTGTGTTTGTGTGTGTGTGTGTGTGTCTGTCTGTGTGAGTGTTTGTATGTGTGTGTGTGTGTGTGTGTGTATGTATGTGTGTGTGAGAGTGAGTGTTTGTGTCTGTCTGTGTGAGTGTTTGTGTGTGTGTGTGTGTGTGTATGTCTGTGTGTGTGTGAGTGTTTGTGTGTGTGTGTCTGTCCGTGAGTGTTTGTATGTGTGTGTGTGTGTGTGTGTGTGTGTGTGTGTGTGTGTGTGTGTGTGTGTGTGTGCGCGTGTGTCTGTGTGAGTGAGTGTTTGTGTCTGTCTGTGTGTCTGTCTGTCTGTCTGTCTGTCTGTCTGTCTGTGTGTCTGTCTGTCTGTCTGTCTGTCTGTCTGTCTGTCTGTCTGTCTGTCTGTCTGTCTGTCTGTCTGTCTGTCTGTCTGTCTGTCTGTCTGTCTGTCTGTCTGTCTGTCTGTCTGTCTGTCTGTCTGTGTGTGTGTGTGTGTGTGTGTGTGTGTGTGTGTGTGTGTGTGTGTGTGTGTGTGTGTGTGTCTGTCTGTGTGAGTGTTGTATGTGTGTGTGTGTGTGTGTGTGTGTGTGTGTGTGTGTGTGTTTGTGGGTCACTGGGTTCATTTAAACATATTGTATATATCGTACTTACTTTGGTTGCAGATGCAAAATAGATTTGCCATTATTATTGTTATCATTCTTAACTCCTTCATAACAAGTGATTGTTTCCGAAAGCATCTACAGATCATCGCAGTAAATCCAAACATTAAACCAATCTTTAAAGCCACATCAAAATATATTCATGCTACAAGGTGAAGAAGTTCTGATGTTGAGAGGATTGGTTGAAATATAAAACAAAAAGGCCTCCTGTCATCAGTGGGCTATGTTTAAAAATGTGATGTACGACACATCCATATGTTTGCACCAGCTGCTAGGCGATGAAGAATAATAATAAGGAATAAGGAGACAATGATAACCAGCATTCGTTTCAGTCTGTTTTGAAAGGAGTGTCTGCCCTGCCTTGCTTTGAACATTAGTGTTAGCGGTACTCTGCTGCTCCACTTGATGGCAATACAAAGAAAGAGTACATGAAAATGAATAGCGTTGCTGTGAGAAGAAGTCAGCAGACATACTCATTCAAACCAAACTGTACTCTTGTCAAATTACTTCAATCCTTTTAAATGTCATGGTCTCATCAGGATGTATTTCTAGAATAGGAAAACATCTCGATGATGTAGCTTAGCCGACAACCAATATTTCCATGTCTACGTCTACAACCCCCACACAAAGGCTCGGCCACTATATAAGTCACTTCCTCCATTTCTGCCCACACGCACACAGAGATCAACTGTCAGAAAAGAACAGGAAGCGGAAACTGACACTTTTCAAAGGTGTCAGAGATATACAGGTGGCACGTGATTAATATGTTCAAAGCAGAGTTGACCTTGAAAGAAAGAAGTTAGGGTGGAGGTGCATGAAATTAAAAAGGTGAGATTTAAAGCAGTGATTATGTAGGACTTGCTTTAGTTGTACTGAGCACCAGAAGGGGCTGCTGTAACAATCTTTTCCCAACTTCCTGTTCCTCACTACAGCATTAGGTCACAACATGGAGTGAACGTGTATGTCTGTGAGTGTGGGTTTGTGTTGTATAGTGTATTTGTATTTATATCATTTTCTCTCGTACTCATTTGTAAGTGTGAATTCTTAGGAATTAAACTGTAAAGGTATTTTAAAGTGTTAAAGTACAAGCTTTCTGACTGTCATAGGTGTGCCTCTCTCTCTCTGAAATGGTGTTATAGGTTGAAGATCTCTTACTGTAAAAAGGCCACAGTGTGACCAAAGGTCTAGGAGATGAAGAAAACATTTACGATCAGGCAAGACGCCTTTTTAATAGGTGTGTCATATTTTTTAGCAATATGTGAAGGGGCATCAGTGCTTATCGATGCTGCACACATGCCCCCTTCCTCTCTGTAAGCTAAGCATAGTTGTTGCGTTTGGGTTATGCGTTGTTTGTGCGAGTGTGTGTGGTTAATGAAAGAGGTCTTCGGTAATGGCAGTCAGCAGACACCCTTGATCATATTCGCCAGAGACTGAGTTAGAAGGCACACACAGGCAGGAAAAGAGAATATTGCTTTTTAACAACTGCAAATTAATCCCTTCAGCATTATCTTATTTCCTTACATTAAACAAAAAACACCTTTTCCAAACCGCGCGTCTTAACACAACCATATTCAGAAACTGATTAGCTGTTTGGAATGCGTTCGTTATCCCTCATCCCTGCTCTTCAATACTTGCAACTGGGAAATCATAAAGGCACGGCAATATAATGAGCACTACATGGGAAACAGGAGTCCTTAATTAAGCATGATCACATTATCCGGTTCAGCAGGGTCCTCCTACACACAAATGCACCTACCACAGGAAGCCTCAAACCTTAACCGTCACACATACACATGTTTTACACACACACACACACACACACACACACACACACACACACACACACACACACACACACACACACACACACACACACACACACACACACACACACACACACACACACACACACACACACACACACACACACACACACACACACACACACACACACACACACACAGCCTCTGAATCACACTTCTTCAGAAGACATCAGAGAAAGAGATGGAAAGAAAAAAACTCCAGAAGCAACAGAGAAACTAATTCAATGTGTATGCTGCATGCCTTTGTGTGTGCGCGTGTGTGTGTGTGTGTGTGTGTGTGTGTGTGTGTGTGTGTGTGTGTGTGTGTGTGTGTGTGTGTGTGTGTGTGTGTGTGTGTGTGTGTGTGTGTGTGTGTGTGTGTGTGACGGGATGGTCTCTGACCCCTTCAGGTATTGATGGATGTTTGTGAATATTTGAGATGCCTCTTGGAAAGCCCCTGGCAGAACACAGAGAGACATCAGAGCAGCTAATACCTCTGTTCTCCTTCCTGAATACTGTATGATTAGCTTGTATGTGCGTGCATGAATTCAAATCAGTAGTAGCAGAGAGCAGTGCTTACTCTAAAGGTTTGGAAAGGGAATATTTGTTGTTAGACGTTACAGCAAGAAGACAGATTTAACAGTTTGTCTGATTAAGTATTCATGTTCTCCCGGCTGCTTGCAGATTGAACACAATGAAAGCTAATCTGCTGGAAATGTGTGTCCTGTTCTAAATCTGTGTTTAATATTTCACACATATCCGTATGTGCTATATAAACATGTGTGCAGGCAAAGTTTAAGAGGAAAGATGGCAAAAACTGAGCTTTTACATTACATATAAATGAAGTTGCTCTTAGAAACATGCTTTTTATTGTTGGTAAAATAAGGACATGAACAGGGACATTTGTTTAGGAACAAACATATCTAGTGTTGATTTCAATCAATTGTTTAATAATAAAAAAAGGTTCTTGTGATGCTATTTTTGCAGCCTCTTTATTCTTCTCACAAACAGGTTCTGATGGTCACGTACGAAGCGCAGGACACCAGACCAGACCGGGGTTTGCATATTGAGTTTTACGTGTGGTTGGGTAAAGGCAAGACTGTGGTTTTGGTGTTAAATGTAAATGGAACAAGTTTCTCAGACTTCGTAGCGCGTTTGACTTGACGCTAATCTACTTTGGATGTGTGAAAAAACGATGTTATACAGTAACCATGCTGTTGTTGCTACAAGCCGATGATGTATTACAAGAGTGGAGGAAAAACTAAGATAATACCTTTCCAATGAATGCATTGAAATAGGTTAACATAGAAATTGACAGACTCACCTTTACAACATTGTAGGACATAGATTAGACAGTTAAACATTTATCTGCTATATCGTCTTTGGCAGTGGCTAATTTGGCCTCTAGCAGAAATGAGAAACAAGCTCTTCTCACTTCCATCTGCTTGATTTTTTCAAAGTCTTTCTGATGCAATTAGCCAGATTTCACTCATCCCTCTCTGGAGCCACACGTTTGAAACAGCATTGTTGTTGCACTAGTACTCCCCAATCTGACTGATCTTTAAAATCTAAAGAGTTCCTTTTAAGTATTAACATTTTGCATCAGGGTTGAACCTGGAAAGTAAATAGCAAACATTTAGTCACTTTGCCAAGATGTATACATTTAGATGCTTGTTTCACAGTTCAAGTTTTCTTGTGCAACTCCTAATAGGAATGGAGAGGCAATCAAAGGTCATAAAATTCAGTCAGAGCAGAAGTATTTTAAACATAGAAAATTATT